AGTTCAAACAGGTGCAATTAATACAGGCAATGAGTGGAGGATAGGAGGGCTTCTTAAAGACAAACTAACAGGTCTGTGAGAGCCAGAATTCTTGCTGGTTGGTAGGTGATCAAATACTTATTTCATGCAATAAAATGGAAATTAATTATTTAAAAATCTAATAATGTGATTTACTGCAATTTTTTTGTAGATTCTGTCTCTCACAGTTGAGGTGTGCCTACGATGAAAATTACAGAACTGTCCGTTCTTTGTAAGTGGGAGAACTTGAAAAATCGGCAGTGTATCAAATACTTATTTGCCCCACTGTATATAGACCTGGAACTAAAACTAGATCCAGTGTCCTGGTACATGCTGGCTCACTGTCACACTGCCCTGGTGTGCAGGGACACCTGAATAAAACAGAACCACCAGTCAAAACCCCTGTTGTGAGATAGGCTCCAGTCTGAGTGTTTACATGAACATTTCAAACACTGGTCACTATTACATTCTAGTCATGAATTGAAGCATTAAGAAATAAAAGAAAACCTTTTTTCATCAGGAGACATTTTACAGAGCTAAACCAGATTTATTGACACTTTTGAAACACATTTATACAATGACTCAATGAAATTATCCTTAAAAACTAACTTCTCCTGACCATCACTGTTCATAATTTTTTAGAAATATATGAAGTTACAAAATAGACTTAGAAAAATAATAAACTTAAACCATAATTCAGTCCGGTTACAGCCTTGTAGACTGAAGTCTCCAAGAAATGTAGGTTTCATAAAGGATTACAATGTTTTAAATGCTTTAGCCTATTAATTACAAACTACACGCACCTCATAATCCTATGGACCATTTTAAAGATCATAAGTCATTTTTGAAAAATTTGATTGGTTTCAATTCATTTTGGTAACAAAGAGGAATTCCCTGCTCAAACTGACCTGGTTATGCAGAGAAGATTGTGTGAAATTTAGAACAAAATATAATGTTTATTTGATAAATTTCTAATAAATAATTTAAAGTACATTGAATTATAAATGAACCAACAATTCATTTGTAACAGATTCCCTCATGCCCCCCAAAAAATAAAATCAAACAAGGATACACACTTGACAAGACTCCTAGCTGGCTGTGACCTTTCTGGGCCCTTACTGCGAGTAAATTACAATGACATCATTATTCTAACGTCCCCACAGGCCTTTATAACACACACAATTGCATTCAGCGGATCAGTGCATTTGATATTAAATATTTTTGTAGGCAAGCTAGTTTGCTATAAAATATAGAAAATATAGTCTGGATTTGCATTAAATCACATGATGATGGATAATCATGGCACAAGTCCTATATACAAACAAAGCACAACATGACCTCCCAGATGGAAGTCATCAAAATGTACATTCCTTTTATACACAAAAGTGCAACATTGAAACAGTCCTTGTCAGATTTGTTCATAATATGCTCATCATATACACACAAGAGAACAAAAAAGTGAATGACATATTGTATCAGTAGTGGAAGGAACATTTCTTTTATGCTTAGCTACTGAGTGTTCCCTTATTTGTAACATTAAGTCAAATATAATGTAATGTTCCGAACCTCTCCTGTGCTCAAAAGATACAATGTAGAGCTACAGCGCTTTGTGGAGAGAGAGGACATTTCAAAAAAGGAGGATTTTTGATTTCTATCTGTGTAAAGCAAGTTATTTGCAGATGATTTACAACTGCAGGAATAGACGAATTTCACAAACATGTGAAAATTTTCCCTTTCCACTGCTTACAGCTTCCTGACCTGGTGATTGTGGAGTTCAGTCTGACCTTGCTTTATTAATCTCTAACCGTGTCTCATGTCTTAAGGTTCCAGTGAAAAGTACTGAGGTAATGCTACCTTTACTCTTTAAAATGCTGGGTGCTAAAAACATACTGAAGTGTGTACGGTTTTGCCAAAGCCAACATAACGTCTGTCAGGTTGTCTTTGACAAGCACCAATCTCAAAGGTAACTATAGCTAGATGACATTAAATTTGGATATTTTCAACTGTGAATTTACTGTGCTAAATGCACCGTTAGTCTGCCATTAAGGAAACATCTGTTACAATTGAAACCCGCCTGCAGATGCAAATCACAACTTTAAAACACTGATGTCGCCTTTGAGCTGTGCTTAGCCATTAGAAACACATTTACATTTCTATTCCAATTATTAGCCCTTTAAAAAGAGGTCTGGTTCAGAGTCTGTCAGTAATGCAGCCAGTCCCCTTTTCCTGGAGTGTTGGCAAGTTCTCACAGAAAGCAGATGAAACAGGAAAAATATACCTCATCGACAGCTTACTGTATATTTTAATATCTTACCCTTAGGGAAATACTGTAAACTTAGAAATGGAAACTGATCTGATGTATTACAAACAACTGACAGCAACATACAACCGTAAGTTGTGGAGATGATAGAGTAGTTTTCCAACATGTCCAGAAGATGGCGATGTGTTGTTTTCCTATGAATTCTGTCCTATGAAATGTTCATGACATGTCTCCGGTCCGTTTCTATGAAGTCGACTCGTGCTGGATCTGGATGTAGCAGGCCTGCAGCACAGACACGTGAACATGTATAAATGAAATTAAGAGATATACTGTATGAGAGTGAGGCTGAGATAACTGAATAACAAAAAATGTTTTATGAATGAGTGACTCAGTGAAACAACTAGTGGTTAGGAATAAATCAAAGAATTTGAAAGCAACAAGACAGGACCCACATGTTCCTACACAACTTCCAAAATTTCTCATCTGAACAGAAATTTATCGGATCCGCATTTGTATGAAAACACTAGACAACCGGGCTTTTGGGGAAAAACCTACCTTCTGGATTCAGAAATGATGACAATTTATGTATACACAGATGAATGTCTGTGAGCAAATTACAATTTTCAGAATTCCATGGTGTGTTCATGTGTGTATTAGAGGGTCCTACCTTCAGTGTTGTGAACATCATTCCCACTTCTCCATGCTGAATGTTGGGATCCATCAAATCTTCTATGAGACTGACCTCAGCGCCCAGGTTTCTGATCCTGGAGAACAGTGCAGTTAAACATAACATGACCGGGCATTTTCAGCTTTGCTAGGTCTTCAGCTTCTGATCTATCTAGCCATCTATCTATTTGTAAAAAAAACATAGCAGCACTGAGTTATAACTGAAAGACATTAAGCAATATTGAGACTAAATAACAGAAATGTTATAAGAACTGGCCACTAATATATAATGAACAAGTGAAAATAAATCATTTGGAGCATGAACGCAAAAATGTGATAATAAAACAGCTAAAAGCTAAAAGTGAGACCATTAGACACCAGCCTTTGTATCTACTGACAGTGTGTGTGTGTGTGTGTGTGTGTGTGTGTGTGTGTGTGTATGAGAGAGATAACACACCTAGATCTGACCACAACATAAAGGAAAAGAGGAAACAGGTCATCCATGCACCACAGGAAATCACCATCCACCATGGGTTTTATTTCCTGTGTCAACTCCTCAAACGTCTTCTGGATTACCACAAGTTTGTCTGAGGGAGTGAAGGTAGTGCTGCGTGGGTAGGAGGACAAAGATTTTAATTCAGTGTATAATAATGTATGAATTAAATGTGTTAATGCTCTGAGTTGTGCTGTATGATTAATGTTGGAATAATCTGCCACATCAGGTCACATCAGGTCCAGGGGATGAGGGTTGCTTGGATTTTTCTGAGGCTAAACAGGGGATGGGGGTTGCTTGGATTTTTCTGAGGCTAAATATTATCTGAACCGTGACCAATCTTGTCACGTTGCCTGTCTGCCCTGTCACTGCACATGGCAGATACCTGATTTGCTGGAGCGTCTCTACAGCAGAAATAAAGCAGGCGTCTTTACTGCTGGACACAATCTGTGGGACAGAAGCAGTGGAAATTGTTTAAGTGTACATTACATCTGATGCAACTGTGAACAAATACAACACATCTTAACGTTAAGATGGTATCAGGGGCAATCTATAATGTGTGACCATGATAGCAAGAGATGGGCTGAAAGCTTGTGCATGAAACCACTGGACACAAGTACAGAAGATGAGAAAAGGTACATGAGAAGAAAACAATGTCTGACCTGCTTTTTCTCTCCCAGAATTGACATCCACACTGGCCAGAACTTCCTATAAGAGGACAAACATTATGACTTCTACAACAAACAATAAAAACACATTTTTGCATTAGGGTAGTCTGACAAACATAGAAAAATGTTACTTTCAGTGGAAGGAAACACAACACTGTCTATTGACAGCTTGTGGTGGCTTTACAAACAAATGTCTGTGCGTGTGTGTTGATTGTACGAACTCACTCCTGCACTCCCAGGAAGCTGAGCAGCGACTGGTCAGGCTGTTTGTTGAGTCGAAGGATGCGCTCCCAGTATTGGGCCTCCTCCTGCTCCTCCTGCAGGCAGTACAGGGTAAAGAGAGGAGGGTAGAGTCGAGGGAGCAGCAGAGGGAGGAGCAGAGAGGGGCAGCTCACCACCACAGCACAGCTGGAGAACACGGTGGAGGAAGAGAGAGAGCGAGAGATGGAAGTTCAGTGTGCAGCTTGTCTGTTGGTGGATGCGTGACTTGGAAAGGTCACCTGGCGGAGTCTTGATTGGATAATGTCATCTTGTAAGTTAACCACTGTATCTACCCAGACAGCTGTCACTGCCTTTAGGCCTACTGCCATGTGTGTGTTGATACTCACCCTTGCTCTGCTGTGTTAGAGCTACGTCTGCTTTTAGATGGCGAGAAAGTGGGGTCTGGGATGCTGCCACCATCAGCTGGTAGCCCTGGAAACAGAAACCTGCAGGAACAAAACACATGCTCTTTAGTGTAGTTATTTTAATTTTGTACATGTACATTAGATTTATTTAGGACTGGACCCAAATATTCGACCATTCGGATATCCGTTCTTTGGGTAGGTCATCACGTTTCAATCTTAGTAGTGCCAGTGACACCTACAATCCTGTTAGCAAAGCTCAGTGTGGAATCTGTTCAGGTGGCAGCTTCCGCTGATTGTCGCTGTTGAAATGACAACCAGCTGTTGCTAACTAACGTTAACTCTGACTTAAAACTGATGACAGTACAAAATGAAGGCGGCTGTTGTCAGGTTTGTGACCTCTGCTGCAGCCAGTGGACACACAGACAACACACTGTCTGCTGTTAAGCTAAAGCTCTCTGATGCGAGAGGGGCTGCTGAAACGAAAGAGCTATGGAGGTTGCTCAAAGACAGTGTTTAAAAAGTTTAATTATGGTTGATCTGACTCACAGCGCTAGGTTTAGAGAACGCAAAACTTAAAAGTGGCTTCAAATTAAATGTTGGAGCAGAATTCAAAACTCGGTCCAGTGGTCCTACTATATACTCATTCACCGGCAGTTCTGGACATTAACAGAAGGATCAGTTTATCAGTCGGCCTCTGCGACACTGCTCCATCTGATGGATATATACACAACACTGCAGGCGGCTTGCACACATGAAGCTTAGAAGCGTTAACAAGGTCGTGCTGCGATCACTGCGTCATCACGAGGGATACACGGTAAGAGCAGGGGCCACGCGTAGGCCTGTCACAGATCGAGCATGGTTCCACCACAGTCCTGGCAGCAATTTAAAATGGCTGCATCTGTACCACCTTTATTTATTTATTTATGCATATGATTTATTTTAAGAATTTATTTTCACTTTTGATTCAAACCACGTGTGTTCTCTCCTTAATATCTGAAACCTGACAAGTGCACTGAATCTCTGACTTTCCATAGTTAACATAGACACTAGCAGCTAGTGAGAAGGCCACACCCTTCTGTTAACACCAGTGCAAGGTGAGACAGTGTCTCTAACCTTGTATCGAGATACCCTGGTGAAAACACAGGCTTGAACTGAGAGACCTACAAAGTCTCAGATGTGAACAAAAGTGAGACCTCAGCAGATGTAACTACCTGACAATGCTGTAGAAATGAGTGAGGTAAGCCTGCACCTCCAGGACGGCCTGCCTGAGAAGCCGGCGGTTGGATCCCACACCGACATAAGTCATCCTGTAGACCGTCACCAACGTCTCCACCAGCCAGCCCAGAGGGTGGAGGGGGGTCTCACATGCCTATAAAACATACATCACACAGAGACATAAAGTAAAGTAAGATGTGTGAAGGATTAAATCAGTGACAAAATCACTGATAAAGTAACAAACAGGCATTTTTGCTCACTTGCTGTCATAACAACATCTAACCTCTAACAAATCTAAGGTCAGCAACTTCCAGTGACTGTAAATCTACATTCCCTACGGTGAAACCCACAATCACTTCTCCACATTGTCAGGTTTCTTTAGCAATTCTGCCCCTCTGTGGTGTGTTGTGACACACAATTCTGTAATTTTAGCTCAGTGTAAGGAGATAAAGTGCTCTTTGGCTCTTAACAGTGGCTCTGGCCACTGAGAAGCAGGTTTTAGATAACAAGACAAGAGTGTCTGTTTTACTCTTTTCAATCAAAGTACTTTTTCGCTTTGATGCAAAAATACACTGTAAAGCTTCTACTCACTGATTTACCACATTGCCCTTAATAGCCTGACACAGTACAAATAATATGGCAAATGCTGTGATGACTGGCACTATTGGATGCACACATCATTACAAAGACAGAAACACACAATATTCACTCATACCTTGATGAGATATCTTCGTATGTTGTCATAGTTTGCAGTTGTCACAGGGTCTTTGTGCTGTGGAATCAACTCCAAGCACTCCAGGACTTTTCTCTGAGACCTAGTGAGGTCTGGGCTGCGTGCACAAAATCGACCCATAGACATATTCACTTACTTTAATAAGTAACCTCATATTTAAAAAAGGTGCAGCAGCACTTAGAGTTGCCTGATTGTTTTGCATGAGTTTCGTACCTGTGTCGCCGTGCAGCTGTTATCATAACAGCGATGTTCTCCCAGGCTGCAGCCCACTCTCCTCTCCCTGCAACGTCGCAGCCCAGTCGACTCCAGCATTCGTCAAACACACAGCCCCATCTCTGACCTGCAGTCACTGCATGCTGGCCCACCCTCCTGCACATGCAAAACGTTTTTAAAAACATTTAGTGATACAAACTCTGTATGAGACGTATCCTGTCATGTTTCCAAGCGGACCTAACAGCCTTATAATGCACAGATAAAATAAGCACACCTGTGCACATTCATACATGAAGGCTAAATATACACATGCAAACATTCAAATAAAACACGTGCACAATTGCAAAAGTGGCTGCTCAACAGATTCACATAGTTTTTGTGCAGAGAATCAGGTCAAGATATGGGTTGACTGCAGGTTTTAAAGGGTGCAAAACAGCACTCACAACAGGTTGTTCCTTTCTCTGCTGTCAGGTTCATCGATGGCTGGTTTGGTATATGTCCCAATCACTTTCAGCCCTGTGCTCCAGTCCCCACTGAACAGGCCCTCCAAACAGTCCCCATTAGTCAGGGACAACACACCCTGGGAGCAATGAGCGTTAATGAAGTTATATTTACTTTATTTATTTACGGTCTTGTTAGCCGATTTTTTTGCAGTAACTTTACCAAAAACTGTGATATACAAGTTGGAATTAGGTACGCAAAAACAAACAAAAAACAAAAAGAAAAGTTGTAGTCCTAAACAAGAAAACCCAGTTGCACTGCAAAGATGTGAAGAGCCTTACACACTGGCAGAATATCTTTATGGACACAAACTGGTAGAGTACATGACAAAGAGCCAGTGCACACAGATAAATGAAGAAAGAGATGTTCTCTACCTTCCCGCTGACAGTCCAGTCATCAGAAAACTCTCCATGGAAAGCAGTGTCATCATCTGACACCAACAGACCTAGACCCTGATAAAAAAAAGATACACACTGCATCAAACATTTTAACCCTATTACAAATGATTAGGACTGTGTCCGTAGATTACATGTTTAGTTTCGTTTCTCATGCATTTATTCATTCTTGTTTAGTAATAATATAATTTGAATACAGGTTTCCAAAGGTCCATGTCCAAGAATTTTTAAATCTGAGACCAATTACACAGAAGTGAGTTTCTTTCTTTGTTAGTGCATGAAAATCCATTTTCAGTCACTTTCTAACCCTGTGTGAGATTTAATTGCGACACAGGTACACATTCAAATACACAATGTAAATATCATTTTAATGACTTTCTTTACTCAATATTAATGTCTAAAAGGTGGCTTAACAGTGCCATCTCCTGTCTTTGTGTGGCACTACACATCAGGTATCCAAGTCGATAGTGTGAGTCGACCTTTATGTCATAATACTGTATACTGAGTAGATGAAGCAGTATGACATGGATGATAGCAAGACTAGGTAGGTTAACCATAATGTTTTTAATGATGCAACAGCCTACTGATTAATTTGAGTCTAAAACTGATGCTGCTTCACTCCCAGTTTTTTTTTTTAAATGATGTCTTTGTATGTAAGTGAAGAGATGTCAGAGTTCTGGATATACAGATACTAGTGTCATTAGCCTAGAAAACAACAAAGACTACAATCTCTGCTTCCTCAGACTGAGGACAGTTGGAGTTCTGTATGTGAGTACTACGCTGTGACATACTTTAGGATGAACTCACACTCATCTTGTTCTCTCTGAAGGTCCCTTCATAGTACAGCCCGCCCTGGGTGACGACCACAGCACTGCCATGCCGCTGGTCATCCAGCCACAGTCCCATGTACTTCTCCCCTCTGGGGAAATAAAATTAGATCAGGGATGAATGACTGCAGTGTTTCTTTGCAGATGAAATTTAAATTCTTTCACTAGAAACTAATTTGAGAAACTGCCTTTTCGTCAAGCCATTTTCTCCCTTAAGCAGATGACAACAAGAGAACAACTGGAGACAGATTTTTATGAATGAAAATTCAGGTCCTGTTGTTGCTAAAAGAATCTTGAAATGGCAGACCTTGTGCAGATAAACAACCCCCCACCAAATCAGATTAAGTAATTATTGGTAACTTTGGTGAGGTGTAGACCCCAAACCATATATATTCTACAATTCCACATGTAAGAGCAGGAAAATCCACGATGTATCTATGTTGATGCTGATGCATACTTTGCCCAGGACTCTGTAGTAAATGACTGGGAAGTATCAGATTTGATGGAACCATACAAAAATAAAATTGATAATTTCTTATCACTACAGGAAAAACAAGAATACAATTCAGTCTCCAGAATTTTTCAGTCTAAAACAGGAATCCTTAAAAGAAACTTTCTGCGGATTTCCAACTATAAATCTTTATTGGAAGCTGCTTTGGATTTGAAGCAGATGCATTAATGAGACCTGGTGATGTCATCGTAGACTCCATATCCTGTCTTCCTGTCCTGAATCCACTGGCCAATGAAAACGCTGTAGGAAGCCTTGGCCAGTTTACCAGAGCTCAGCATGCCATAACCATAACGCTGGCCATCACAGAAGCAGCCCTCATACACCTCGCCGCTGGCATACCTATGTAAGACAGACACAGACGTACGGTGACTGTGCCTCTAGAGAAATGCACCACAGTCATTGGTTCAATTCCTACACAGGCCACTGATTTAAAACAAAATGCTGGGAAGAGGTGAGGTGGTCCCTCCCACCTCTATTCTGGTGACTTGGGACCTGAGTTGGTGACTAAAGACAGAGTTTTGCCTTTACACTTGTGACTTGTAGTCAAGTACTGCTACTTAACACCAGACATAACTTAAATGATTCAGATATGACTTTGGTGATGAATACATAATCGTTGTGATTCAGGTATGTAGCCAATTTATTTACTCTTCATTTTACTGAAAAGTCAAAAAAAAAAAAAAAGCGTTTACTGACTTGTATTTGCCGAAACCATGGATCTTTCCATCTCTCCAGAGGCCTTGGTAGCTGTCTGGTTTATTCAGCACTTTGTTAGGTATTACACACTCCCCATAGCTAGAAAAAAATAACAATACTAAAAATTTTGCAACAACAGTTTAAACATTGCTATTAAACACTGTTGTACATGGTTTTGTTTCAGACAAAACAGGAGTGACAATTCAGGCTGGCGACCAACACTATTTTCTGTTTCAGCAAGTAATTTAATTACTTACTTACTTTAATTTAATTTTATCACAGATCTCCTAAAGGGTTGAGATACATTTCATTCTAGGAATGAGCCACATTGCACGTTAACCAGTTCTTCAGTACTACAGTAGATTAATGTACAGACCCGTCCTCCAGACCATTCTTAAAGCTCCCGCTGTACATCCGTCCATCTGGCCACTTCATGGTTCCTCTGTAAAGGCAGATATAGTTTACACATATTTTACAATCCAACTATTTGCACAGTCAATCTGTGGCCATTAATTGAGCTACTTATTTCTAATGACATCTGGATTCAACAATGCAGCAAAGGTTTGTGTGTATCTCAGACCACAGTGATTTATCTTATCCCCTGCAGATACACTGACTGCTCATTCATTTACAATCACCCTGTCTTCATCCCACATCTCTACTGATTAGAAGTTTGATGACTGAACTGAAAATCACAGTCTCCATCCACGAACTATTGTACCAACAGTGGTTCTGCATGTTATTGATGGGTGGGACTATAACTATGAGCCATTTAAATAACACTCTAGTGTTCAAACGTTTACAGTGGGCTACTGAAATCCAATGCACACACTTAAAAACATATCTTATGAACACACCCATAAGAAAATATTAGTCAATAAACACTCAAATTGCAGAGGTGAAGACACACACATCCCCACTAACCTGCCATGAGGTCGTCCTGCCAGCCAGCACCCGGTATACTGGGCATCTTTAAACCGTCCCTCTCCAGTGAACGTGTAGGAAGCTGTACGGGACATCGCCGTCTGCACTGGCGATGACCCCTGACCTCCACCACCCAGCACCTGATCCACTGCCTGGTTAAGAGATTGCAGCCACTTGTTCTAAAGAGAGAAAGAGAAAGATAATATATGGTTTTCCTTGGGTGAAAACAATGCTACCACAAGTGTTTAATATAAACTTTAAATGACCTTTTCCTGTGGTGTTGAGGCCACCACTGTGAAACTCCCCTCTGGACATGTGATTTTGATGGCACAGCTGAAGACACACAACAGAGTTTAGTTGTACTGAGCACAACCAAATAAATCAGGACTGAAAACAGAAACCAAGTTTTGGTAATTTGGAACC